ATCATACATCTTAACAGGAGTGGCTTTGTAACGTGAAAACCAAACTGCAGTGTTCAAGATCAATCTCTTCTTTTCCGAAAACAGCAAAATACTAGTTGTTTTTCTTTCTTTCTTAGATTCCTACTTAAAAACAGATCCCAAAACTACAACAACGACAAAAATACAGAGTCTGGAATAAGAATAATATCCCACGTGGGATGTGAAATGATTGGTGAGCCTTATCTACCTTTATGGCTTAAAAAAAAAAAAAGTACAGGATCTCTGGACAATTTTTGAAACTCAAAATTCAGCAATAGGTGTTTCTTTAGAGAGAAAATTTGGGCCACTCATGAACATGGCCCCCTCTCAATACTTGACTTGAGGAAACACAATCCATACGTTTCTTTATTCTTTTCATGAGACAAAAATGCATAAACAGCCATGTATTTTTTTAAATGGTTGCATCTGGTACCTCTCAGCCCAGAAAGAGGAAAGACAAGAATGCAGAAAGGATGAAACAGGAGAACAACAAGGCAAAGACACAGGCATCAGTAACGAATGCTATGGCTTAAGGCCAAGAACCAGCAAGACCTATGAGTAAATCTGCCACCAGACAGCTTACCGAAAGGCGCACACACACACACACACACACGCACACAAAAGACTAAAACCGAATTTGAAAAGTGTGGTAGGCAGCCTCTAAGCCGCTATGCTCCCATGTTTCCTAGTACTGACACCACTGTGAGATCCTCTCCCTGTGAATGTGGATCACACCCACTGATTTCCTTCTACCAAACAGAATGGACTAAAGTTATGAGATATCCCTTCTGGGGTTTGGTTACACAGGGCTGTGACTCCAAAGAACCGAGAGAGAGGCCCACGGCTAAAAGGCAGAGAGGAAACAAAGTCCTCAGTATTCTAGGCCATAAAGAACTGAACCCTGCCAACAGGCCCACAAGCTTGGAAGTGGGCCCTTCCCCAGCTGAGCCTTGAAACGGCGACAGCTGGGCTGACACCTTGACTGCAACTCACAAGTTGACCCTAAAGCAGAGAGGCCGGGTTCCAGACCCACAGAAACTGGGAGATAAGCAGAAAGGGTGTCACAAAAGGGCACAGGCTGAAATAGCCGCTTATGAGGAAAAACACTCTGATATGTTGGATCAGCGTCCACCCTGATTCGACCCTCTACTGCTTCACTCTCCTTCTCCCGACTCTGGCGAGGCTGGATAGGTCTGCATTTCACAAACCGTATCCCCGCATGCTCCATGCTCACAAGTCAACTGCGATGCAGTAAGAGTTGCTGAAAGTTTGGAACCTGGGATCTGAAAAAGGCACAGAAGAATTCTGCAGCTGAAACAGTACCTTTGGAATCTTCTAGGCTGGTCATTCCCAAGTGTAAGCCCAACATTTTCAATACTGAGAACAATGGCCAAGGGAGCAATGAAATGGTTTTCCCTGAAGTCGAATGTACTCAACTGAAAGGGCTGCTTTCTGTCCCACCATCATGTCCTGCCTACAGTTTCTGGCGTTTAAATGTCTATTCTTTTACAAAATTATGGTGACAGTCTATGGTGGTGGGTTTGTCTTTCATCCAGAGTTTTCAGAATAAAGCATATGAGCCTGCACTAGTCTCCTTTTTGAAAAATTTCCTTTCAAATTACACTGTAAAATCCAAAACCCATGGGACAACTAATCTTGGTTAAACGACTCATTTTACAGATAAGAACAGGGAGGCCCAGAAAGGGGATATGACTTGCTCAGAGACACACAACTGCTTGATTACAGCAAACTCTAAAACTACATTCAGAAAGACAAGATACAAAGATGTAAACCCACGAGCGTGGAGCCTGGCACTTAGCAGGTCCTCAGGGAAGATGAGAATACATCTTCCACTGATGTTCAACATATTCGTCCATCTCAGTGTAGTAAGAAGGGGAGGGTGTAGATTTCAGCTTCTGAACAATTCGGAACCCCAGATTCGAGTTCTCCTTATTGCCGCTGGAAAAACACTACCTTCCGCCTCACGAGGAAAAATCAACATGTCCGGTGAGTTGTAAGAAAATCAATGTTCACAGAAGAAACGTCTCAGAAACATCATCGCAGGGCAACACCAACTCCTGGCATGTGTTTAACCGTGCTGGCCTCCGATATCGAAACTGTGCGGCAGCCAAAAATCATCGGAAAGAAGTATGAAATTGGAGAAAAGGAAACTGGAGGGGGAGGATCAAAGAAGCCTCCACCAACTTAAAAGTAATAAAAGAGCTAGGAAGAGAGTTAAAAAGAGGCAATGCATTACCCAAGAGCCAACGGGGATGCAGAAGAAAAGGAAACGAGGAAGATAAAACTAGGGGAATCTCAAATCTTGGTTAAGTGTTCATTAAAAAATTTGTCACACGTATTAAGGCCAGATAGTCATTTCTTTCCCCCTCTCAGGCACTCATTCGGGAACAAAGGCCCAACCAGACTTAAAACACAGAAAGGCAAGGCAGAGAAAAATACAGCCATGAAGAGCCCTGGCCTCACAAAGCCAAACATACTTTCCTCCTCCTCTTTGTTTCCAACAAGAAAGGGGGACTCTTTCCTCAAAGCTAAGGGGTACTTAAACAGGCCGCCAGGAGGGCTTACATTATGCACTGTGGGTCCAGGCCTGGTCACCATTCCATATGTTGTCCAGCTCTTACTCGGGGTTGTATATGGTTTTTTCATGCCTAATATTCACAGGGAAAATTAGACCTTCTGTGACAGACACGGGGCCGTCATTAGGGGAATGGGCATTTCCAAGCAATGGGAAGTAACACAGCCCTTTCCTTGTGTGAAAAAATGATGATGATAAACACACGTTTACTGCCCATCCAGCCTACTCTGAATGCTATACACTCATGATCTTCTACTCTCAACACATGTCAACAAGAGCAATGCCAGTGAGTGTTTATTGAACATCTAGCACATTCTGGATGCTACACATTCATGATCCCGTTCAATTCTCAACACGAGCCCATACACACGGATGTTAGCCAGGGTTTGGAATGTGCCCGAGAGTTAGCGTGGGACGGAGCTGGGGTTGGATCTGAGAGCTGCCCGGCTCTAAAGTGTTTCTTTCCCACGCCTTGCTGTTCTCCTTACGCATCTTCTCTCCATACTCACACCACTGGGTGGATCCCTCATGTCTCCCCTGACCAGGAGTTCAGGGGCGGGGGGCTGGGTTCTGACCCCATAGACCAGCTGTGTGACTCTGGGGGCAGGGGATCCCCCTAGCCTCATCCGTTTCTGTACCTACACATTCTGAACTGCAATCCCCTGCCCACCTCAGAGAGACTCATGAAAAAGAATGGATTCAAGACTGTCATTCATTAAGCACCTAATCGTCTTTCGTTTATTTATTTACAAGTATTTACTGAGCACGTACCTTATGGACCAGGGATACAGCAGTGTGAAGGCAAAAACAGCACTTTCACTATAAACACAAAACTACGGGAGTTGTTTCTCTAAATTGCATTCCTGTTAAACGTTACGAAGGACAAATTCTGGGGTCCTTCATTCATTCCCCTGGCACGTATAGATGGAGCGTTATGACACGACAGACAGTATCACACGATAAGCACTGGCTCTTATGAGAGCACAGAATGGAGGGTCCTGACCAAGTCTTCATCTAAGGAGGCTTCCTTGAAGTGTGATGTTTGCGTTGTTTTGAAGGATGAGCAGAAAGTAACTAAGCAGGGAGGGAAAGGTGTGTTCTAGACTGAAGGGCAGTGCACTTCAGCAACCTGGAGAAGGAAGGAGAATGGCACCAGAAGTGGCTTGAGGTAAAGCTGAGTGAGTGGAAGGGGACCAGATAAGGCCAGGTGCCTCCCATTTAATTCTTACTTGCTTTCACAATGACCCTATAACACAGACAGCATTCCCATTAGATAAATGAGCAAGCTTTATGTACACCTGTTCAATAGGGCCTGCTCAAAAGCCATTATCCTACCCTTTCTCCTTGCCATCAGATCTTGCCTCCCACCCTGGAAACACAAAATGCCAAAATGCACTCTTCCAGCCTCCCTTGTACCCAGGATCTGGACGGGTGGCTCAATCCTGGCCAGTGGGAGCTGAGAAGTCTACGAGGGAGGACAGTTTTGAGAAAGAATGTTCTCCTCCTTGATAAAGGAGGAAGGCATGCAAAGAGGGGCCTCATCCCTCCCACCCTTACTTCAGAGTTTATCACACAGGATGCAATGGCTGGTGTTGCTGCAGCCATCTTATAATCATGAGGAAAAAGCCAAGACAATCACAGAGGAGCTGCCTAAATATTAGCTAAAGAAGCCCCTGGCTGCCTAGGGACTTCTGGATATATGAGAAAAACAAACCTCTGATACGCCAACAACCACTTTTAAGTGGGTGTTGAGTCACAGTCCAAAACATCTAAACTGATGATAGAAAATGAGCCTGAGAGAGGGTGAATCATTTCAAAATTACACAACTAAATAAAAGAGGGGAAACCTGAATTTTGAACACATGCCTAATGATTCTAAATCCTATGCTCTTTTTTCATTAGACCATATCCCTTAGACTTCAAATTGGGCAAACACTGCAAACCTTAAAGCTCTGGACAGAATTGAGAGATGATGAATAAAACCAATGCTAATGATAATCCTGGAAAGTAACAAGAATGTTTGAGGCTACGGGGATGTGGCTTCGGCGAGGGGAAGAAGCCACCGTGGAGGCGGGGGGGGCGGGGTTTGCAGAAAAGCCCACGTGTGGCCCAACCACAGAGAGGTCCTAGGAGTCTGGTTTTCTAACATATCTGGCCTGGCAAGGACAAGGCAGCCAGAGAATTCAACCCTCACTCAGGAGTCTCAAAATATTTAGATCAGTGAAGAATATGCTGAAATTTCCACTTTGAAAATTCGATTTCCTCCTCCCTACGCAGAAAAAGGCCCCCGCTTTTCTACTCCAATGTACCAATAAAGATTCAGACAGGGAGTTCTGTCCTTGATAGTGTCCAGAGCGTAGTCAGCTGCAGGTATTTAATGGGGAGGGGTAGGGGGAGTATTTTTCTAAAATACTTATTTAAAGAACAAATCAACATCTATTATCTCCTTCATTATGTTTTAAATTGTACAACTATAAATCACCCTGCAGCGGGTTATTCAAGGGCAGAATTACCAGGCTTGGCTTTCCCGAAGGTTAGAAGAACGACACCGTGTGCTTTTTCTAGCTATAATTTATAACTGTGCAACAGAACCAGCATTGCAGGCCCATCCATTAGCAGGGTAGCTGCGCATCTGTTAAAACTCACCACAATGACTGGCTTTGCGCGGCCCCAGGAAAGGTAACCCAATCGTTTCAGAAGTTCGACAAACTTGAGCCGTTGTTATTTTCTTTTTTAATGTAAAACGATTTGAAAACGCGGTTCCCTAAAACATCTGCTAAGCTCTTGCTACCCTAACACATGATACTCTTTCTACCGTTACCTGCCATCGCAAACATCTGGTTGCACAAAACACGCTAAGAGGCACGTGAGGGGGCTCAGCTTCAAATTTACATACTGACGGCAAAAGGCTGGCGTGGACCTAGGAACTTGAGCTAAGACGTTGTTTACCAGCACTGCAAGTGTACGCGGGGGAGAAAACGGGGAGAGGGTTCATTTCATGAAGGTGCTTTCAAACATTTTAAAAAGGAGACACAACCACAGGACTGGATCAATGTGGCAGCGGCGGTGGTATATTTGACAGAGAAAATGAACTTGGACAAGTAGCTGGCAGAGGGTCTGCCAGCTGATATTTCATTTTCTTGAACAAGTTGGCTAAGTTCCCTATGCGTTTTAACTGCAAAATAAGGGGAGTGATTCTAACGTCAAACCTGCTGAAAGCAATAAATGAAGACATATATGCTGATACATAAAGCACAATGCCTGGCCTTACCTGCCAAGCTGCATCTTACTTGGGTGCATGGCAACAACAGCAAATAGACAGACCCACCTTTAAAAATCTCCCAGATCACCAGATAATACAATATGTCTGATTTTGTGAAATAAGCCCCAGAGGGTAATACGTATGTATGAATACATTACGTACACTAACATACAATATATATTAGTGCATCAATATGCAAAATGTAATTTTAGAGTATTTAAATAAAAAGCAAGCTAGAGAGATGGGAAAATAAGCAAATGACACACATAAGATGGATGTCACTTCATAACTAGAAAGCTTCCAGCAAAGTTCAGTTTCCTTGAAGATGTTGCACAAGCAGCTAAGGAACCCTGCATCATTTTTAAAACAATACTTAAGACAATCCTATTCCCATTTTTATCTATTACTTTAATTTTATTATAAATTGGAGGGAAGAGGGAAAAACGCTTTTCCCTCCGAAACCCCCATATTACCTGTCCTGACCTCTGTACCACAAGAGGAAGAAGTGTCAGAGACACGGCTCCACCAGTAGGGGTCACTGTGCTGAGAATTAATCCCTAAGAGTTTCTCGTTAGTGATTATTATACTGCAGGCGGGCAAAATGGAAAAATTAATTAATTTCAAAGTGATAATGCATTTACAGCAACAATTAGAAATGTATAACTGTAAAAGGGCAACATTTAAAAGATTACATTTAATAAAGTTGCACAAGAATATCCAATTGTAAAATTACTGATCTGCCACAATATTCCTTAAAGAGGCACTTAAAATAGCCTGACTCCACGAAGGGTGACCTAATTACTGTAACTAAAATCACCGCAGTCACAGCAAGTCACAGCAAATAAAAAACGGACGTTTGTATTAGAATACTGCTGTTTAATACTTCAGGGAGTCGGCTACAGTGGAGAAGGCAGGCAGGGCTCCCGGGCACAAGGCTGGCTGTGTGTCTTGTTTCCTTGACCTTGCGCAATGGAATGCACACTCCAGCAACCCTCAGGTCAAAAGGAAAATGCTTTGTCTGAAGTGCAAGGCAGAAAGGGCAAAGATGAAGCACAAACAGAACACTAGCCATTGGGAGACGGGAACCCTGAATCTATGCTCAGGTTCTCCATGAGCATTTAGGATCCAACTCCTACACGGGGTGGGAAAGGGGATGCAGCCACATGGCTTAGGTCCAAAAACATGTTTGCATTAAAATGGCAGAAGTGCGCCCTTCATCCACAAAACAATGCCTTGTCACGATGGAAGCAATGCCAAGCCCTGTATGGAAGGACAGAACATGAGGTTGGATCTGTAGTTCAGTCTGTCCTACCAGTGAAACAGTAGATCCCAGGTCTATACTGGTACAGAGTTCTGTCCCACATACAGAGTCCTACATTTTCGTCAGAGAAGTGACTGGCCGTGAGTTTGACAAGTCCAGGGCTCCCGTTCCATCTCTTTACAAACCTCAGTCGTATGGAACTCTGGGGTCTAAGAAACCCCACCAAATACCTAAATGTATAAAGATATGACAGACCGTGAATCCATTACTGTCAATCCTCATGCCAACCTTTATCGCCATTTTGGTTACGAGGGAACAAGCTCAGAAGGGTCAAGTGTCTTGCCCAAGCTCTCCCAATTCCAAGGGTAAGGGCTGGGGCTTGACCATGAGGATCCTAAGCAAGAGAGTCAGTAGGTCCACTGTCCCAGGCAGCAGCTTTCTCACACTTGCCACCACCAGGAAGTCATGTCAAATCCCTTTTCTAACACAGGCTAAGGGTTTACATCCCCTGCCCTTTTATGGAACATTCCACCACTGCCAATACAACTTAACCAAATCTGGGGGGTCTTTCGGTGACGTCTCCACTTTTCTCCAAACCTTCTCAAGGGTTATCTGCTCATTTCCCCAAACCCCCCTCTCACCCAGGGCCACAGACACCAGTTCTTGTTTTATATGTTGCCCAAGACTGCTCCCAGCAAGCACTTTCCCACTGCGAGCACTGGGGACCAGGCTGGGGGGTGGCCGAAGCCTCTGTACACTGGCTGGTGAAGGAGGAGGAAAGAGCCACTTAGGCTGGGCATCAGGCATCACTGAGACCAGATCCCGGTGTGGTGCGCATTCAGTGGGGAGCTTCTCCTAACTCCCTGTGCTGCCCAGCTGTATGGTGACACTCCCGTCTCAGTTTCCAACTCCACGCTCTTGTTTCCCCGTTGGCCTGAGTCCCGACTATAGTTACCAGCCAAACAACAATATTCTGTGATCCCAACACGGTTGCCTGCCTGACTTAATTTGCTGGCGCTTTCAGAAATCCTCGTTACGTCCAAGGAGCAGACAATCCAGCCTGACTTGGCTAAACTCGTTTATGTGTTGTGTTCATGTTAACTATTAGACAATGATCCCCTCCCCAAGAAACAAAACCATTCACTCCACCTTTTACTTTCCCAGAGCTAGTCTTCTTCTTCCTCCCACCTGCCCTTGTGCAGGGTTTCTGAGCCCTGTGGTCCCATCACTGAGTAAGAGTGGCTACCATTTTCCATCAACAAGCCTTCATCCACTGGAGACCACACCCAATGGGGACATGGTTTCACCACCCGCCATCACAGTCCTTGTAGTCACAGCCCCGCCTCAGTTCTTTCCCACCACGTTCCTGTGATTAGAGAAATTCCAGAAGAAGAAAAAGCAAGACTCTGATGTCACATAAAGGAGTTCCTTGGCTCCCACCAATGATCAATCACAAGTGAGAAAATTCAAGAGCCAGAGATTACAAATCACACGCGATGATTGGGCTGTTGGTCTTGAAGGTACAGGGCCAGCAGAAAATGAGAAAGGATGCTGTCCACTCCTCACCCCCTGCATAAACTTGAACAACAACTCATCCATGGTACTGTCAATGGCACTGACACCAGTCCAAGCCCATATTCTCCCTTATCATCTCTACTGAAGGACCTAACTTAAGACAACGAGCGGAAATCATGGTCAAAGATGTCCTCGTGGAGAAGCTACTCTCACGCAATCATGGACAGCCTGCCGATGGGGAAGCTTCAGAATCCTGGGACACACACGCTTTCTCGTTTTCCACCGGCCTTGGCCTTGGAGAACTGCTCTCCAGAGACTCTCCCACTTCTTCTGTTCTTTAAGTATTCACCTCTTGGGTTAAGCCTATTTGCTTTGCATAAGAACCATCTGGTTGATGAAGATTAAAAAAGCACTTACTTACTTTCTCCTAGGCAGGTCAAAAGATTTTCCTTGCAGTTTTAAAAGCCATCCACAAACATGAAGCTCAATGAGGGTGGGTGGGAAGGGCTGCAGGAGAAGGCAGCAGACTGTATTCAGAGGCTATGGGATCATTTGCCCAGAACATTGGAGGTTAATGACTTGACTTTTGTTACTCCTAAAAGCCAAGGTGTTTCTGAGGATTACACGGTAGGTTTGGTTAACTGGAATACTGGTGTCCACTAAATAGGAAAACATTTTTTTAAAGGCCTGTGTTTTAGAAAAGTACCATACCAAATATGTTGTGTAAAAATGTGCATTCTTCATTCAAATGACTTCCTCCTCAAACTTCTTTCAGGGAAGAAGTTTCCAGATACAGTTGTTATAGGACCATCAAAAACAGAAAGAACTTCACACTTACCTTTGCAAACATGTCCAAATCTAACCACAGTCGTGTGATTCACCCAAAAGGACTTACCTTTGGAGAAGTAAAGAATAAAGTGCACCTGTAGCCCAACAAAAGGATTTTCCAGGAAAGGTTTACACCCATTAAAAGAAGAATTTAGAACAACAGATACAGATTCTCAATGGAAACAAAGGAATCACATCTGCTAATAATTCAAAAGGCATGAATCCATGTCATTCACCTACTAACACAAAACACAGTTTTGAAGGACTGTGCTTACTGAAACAAAAAAAAGTACATCGAAAGCAAACAAATCATCTCCATGAAGACGTTCAGCCACATATTAACACAATACTGAAAGAGCACATCTTCTCTCTGGCCCTCCAAGACACCTCCAGAGAAACAGATGCAATCTAAAGCCCACTGAAATGTGTCCAAGAGCCCTAATAAGCCTGATGCTGTGATGATCAAAACCAGACTCAGCCTCACAAGAGGTGAGAGGCGCAGAAGGCACGTGTGCCTGGGTTTCTCTAGGACCCTTTCCGTAAAGGCGCACTGGAGGTGTCTGCGGCGGCGGCGGCGGCAGTTCACTTACCATGGACTTGGTGAAGGGTCTGGCCAAGGTGAAGAGCAGCGTGTACACCCACCAGCCTCGATGCAGGGAGGAGTACATCATGTTCCCGGGGTGCACCGCGTTCGACGTGACCCCACGCGGGGACAGGCGGCGGTGGAGTTCGCTGGAGAAGAGGATGTTACAGAGTTTGGACCGGTTGTAAGCCAGCATGGCCCAGTAGTCATTTTTCGATGGAGAAAGGCGGCTAAAGTCTAGTTTTCCAGAGGAATCATTAATATCTGTAAATCTTAAACAAACAAACAAAAAAAAGATATGAAACAGCCAGTCTCTGACTTCTTATATAGTGTTGTGTTTTTATTAGAAATCTGAGAAAAACTATGCAGAGATGATTGAAAACTCAATTGGGCAAACATCGAAACAAAGTCTCCTTAAAAATAGACAATGGGGATTTCACAATATAAACCATCGGGGTCCAAAGGCACACTTAATAAAGGCCCAAACTCATAAATACAGCGGTCTTCACATGCTGAAGTCCCACTCCACCACCCCTGCCTCTAACATATATTTTTCAAAACCTTCAACAGGAAGTTCAAGGATAATTAAATTAAATGGAAAAACATCTTAAATAAAGGGCTGCTGCTTTTGGAAGCAGAAAGATATCGCATTCCTAACCTTTGACAGGGCTTCCCTGGGTTATTTTAGCCAATGCTTGCGTCCTGTATTATTTTCATTTGAGCATCCAAGTAAATATAGATGAGCCTTGCTGCCTCTAAGACTCTTTTACAGATTAAAAATTAATGATTATAAAGGGGTTATAACCTTGGTGAGGTGCCACCAATAGTCTTATACGTTTAAAAGATAAATGTAAACAAAGCCAAAATAAGTTCTGGCAGAGTCGAATGTTTTTAAGTATATCCATGCCATGGATACACACAAATCAAAGTAAGTAGTTGATGTTTTATAATTGGGTCTGACGGAGTCGTTAAACACCAGCTGTTTGTTTCTTTCCTTTCTTTTTTTTTTTAAATAACAACAAAGTAGTGACTTCCCTAAAAAGCAAAAAAAAAAAAAAAAAAAAAAAAAAGATCATAACAGAAGGGATTTTCTAGACGACAGTCTCATCTTCATTAAGGACCCCTTGGAGTTTGCTTCATTAACTCTGGACATTTGCCCCGAGTAATAAGGGAGCACAACAAGGGCACTGGAGACAACCACTGTGGAAAAGGAAAGCAAAAGGTAAAACGAAAATGATGGAATAATCTGGTTGTTCCTTAAAGGAGCAGTTCAGATGGAGCTATGACCAAGAAGAGAATCCCAGGGGCAGACGAAATTCATGTCTTAACGGAAATTAAATACCCCTTCTCCAGGACTCAGTCAGTGACATCTCATTTCCGGTGTTAAATCACCTTGCCGAGCCGAAGTCGTCAACAAAGATCATGGCCAGAGACGCTGGCGTGGATAAGGCAGTGAGACTCTAAAAGGAATCACCGCTGCCTGTTTCCAAGTCCCCAGACCACAGGAAGAGCCCAGACTTCCGAGCTTAATCCTCTGAGGCAGTGAAACTTAGCGGGAAATTTGAAAATTTATGGGAGCCTTTTTCTGGTTGTCATAACGACTGCCGGCGGGGGCCGCGGACAGGAGATGTCCTGCCACGCACTCGGAGCCTTGCTCAAGGAAGATGGCCCCACTGGACATTCAGGCAGATGAAAGCCTGTGTGTAATTATCTGAGCCTAGAGCCGAGCTGTGCTTTACACAGATGCACAGTTGTAACAGCCGCTGAATTTCCAGGAGCAGCATGCCACAACCATGTAAATGAGGAATGAGCGCGCTTTGGGATTTTATGGGATTGGGTGGCGGGGAGGTGAGGCTTGACCCGAGGCTGGTGGCATTTGAGGCTGCAATGGCGCACACCTGTTAAAAATCCACGTGTGAGAGGATCCCAATGGAGGGCTGGGCTCTCTGATAACTTACCTTCCCTGAAGTCCCGCCCAAGCACTGACATGTTGGAACACATGCTCTTTTGCTTCACATTCATTTTTTTCCTTACATTACAGGTAAGCTAGCACACTGAATTACAACATATGTATGCAGGGAAGTTATATTATTCATATTTCTTAATTTTATTTCAAAACAGTAATAAGGTGTTACAGAAGAGTTGTCACCAAAAAAAACGACTGTTGAGTTGCGGATGCAATGATCTAAGGTATGGCCCAGAAGTTCTACCTGCTCTGAGTAGAAAAGAGCATCCAGGATTCAGACAACATCTAACAGGTACGGGACGAAGGTCGCATCCTTCACTCACTCTCCATTCCGCTTTCATCGGCTTTCTTGGCATCCTTTGTTTAGCCCAATCCAGCTCAGGTGTCACTTCTTCTAGGAAGCTCTCCCTAACTAACTCTTCCACTGCTTGCTGTCACAGTGATTTCTAGGGTGGCAGTGAGGGACAGACTGAAAGAAGCCACGCAGGGTAGATGGAAATTAAGTATCCACTTTCCGGGACCTGGTCCATGCTATTCCTGTTGTTCAAGGACCTGCCACCCTGCAACGTTAGCAACAAAGCAAGTCAGGCCACCTTTGTACCTTGTGCCTCTGTCCTTACCATACAGACTGCAAGTCATTTGTTCATTTGCTTCCAACCCTAGACTGTGAGTTCTCGGGAGGTGAGCTCCTTGAATGTTGCCTATGACACACAGTAGGGCCTAAATACGGGATTAGAGAACTGAAGTTGGATCACGGGTTTGGAATTCCAAACTAAGAGGCAAGTTTCCTTTATTACAAAAAGCTTTCTTTTGAGCTTTGCTCAAAAGGCAAATTTTCCCATTCTGTTCAGAGGCTTTATGTCCTTCATGAACATCTGCACGCAGCACTTTCTCATGTTTAGAAGGATTTCCCTGCTTTGGCTTTTAAGGACAATGCAGAAGTATCTCATGCCCTGGGGAACACTGGGTAGACTCAACCCCTAAGAGAAGGTATTCACTCCTAGTCACCAACCTAGAAACAAGGCGAAAACAACAACAAAATCCACCATGATGAGAAATTAGATGGAACCAGGTTGAAAGCAGGTTTCGAGATGGAGAAACAGCTACTAAACAGTAGGCCCGCCCTCTGCAAACAGCCCTCCCCCATAAATAGACCCCTGAGTTCCTGACCTGCTGATCTCCTGAGCGGCACACTCATTTTTAAGGCCTGATTAGCTTGTATTGACAGTCCTCCAGGGAGGAGAGAGGGTGGGCGAGCTTTCTGATTCCTCTGAGCCGGGGCCCGCTTCCTGAAAAATGACCGCGTTCACCTCTCACAGCTCAAGAGGCAGCAAAACAAATCTACAAAAGCTGCCTACCCTGTTTTCAAGTTGAAAAATTGACAAAGCTAAACAATAACGTCTTAATAGAGTTATCCTCCTACCAGGACACTCGAATGTTAACATTTGCTCTCTGGACGTTAACATCTGCTGTTTGAGAGGACCTCTATGTTGTATTTCTCTATATACCGCTCCTTTATTATTTTTTTTTAAACTGAGGATTTTTAAATAACCCAACTAAAATAATTAGGCTGGATTCTTTGTAGACAAAAGCTAGTATGTTCAAACAATAGGACTGAATTTGCATCAGAGGCTCTGTGTGTGTGTGTGTGTGTGTGTGTGCGTGCGTGTGCGCGCACGCCAACTTGGCACTCAACACAGCTGCAGCCATTTACAGCCCTTCAGCCAGCACTCCACTCTTTTCATTCCATTTTAATTGTTATCTGAAAACTTTTTTCACAGCAAGGAAGTTCTCATTTCCATATGATGGATTTCAATTCACTTGCTCCGGTTCCAGATAAGTAACTAAAATACAGGGAAGACTCGGGGAGGCTAATAAATATTTTGCCTTGGGGCAGTCTGGTATAATATTTTCTGCAAACATCGGACTTCATTTTTCCCCTAACAGGGGGTCCTGACTCCAACGAAGAGATTCCACCAAGGTTTATGGAGGTAATTAGATATCAACCCTTCCGTTTTAGGACATGGTTTAGGGCTCTGGGTCCTTGAGCAGCAAGTGAGTGCTTTCCCAGGACTGCCCGCCCAGTATTCACACTGGCTCTGGGGTGCAACACAAGTGTAATAAACAAACCAGCTTGGGAGAATTAACGTTTTGTAAAAACACCCTTTAATACGGGCAAGAGGTCATCGGGAAGTAGAAAACCAGTGCCCGTCGCCAGACAGGAGCGGGCCTGATAACACACACTTCAGGAAGACCTGGTCTGCAAACTACAATGGATCGAATCCAAGAGACCAGGGCCCTGCCTTCCGATCCATCTTTTAAATGAAATCAAGATTCAGATCTCCAAGGTAAGTGCGAATTACACTGCAGTTAAGGAGAGAACAAAGACGTCCCATGAAATACTTATTTGAGATCCAGATTTACAAAAGGAAGAAAGCAGCTGAGAATTCCACAGAATCTCCCATTAAATACCAGCTCATTTAAACGTATCCCGTGGTGCCCTCCACATCTGGCAAACGACTGGGGCTGGCAGATTTATTTCCGGAGCTCTCTCCCCATCGCCCCCGCAGTAGCCTCCCTCACGCCCGAACAAGGCCACTCCACTTTCACGAACCCGGTGTGATTTGCAAAGATAAGGATGTCCCGATTTTGTTACCACCTAATTACGAGATGTTTCATGTCTTTTAACGCAGGGGAGGATTATTACCGGCATTTTCCTTTCATTTCGGCCATCATAAATTTCAAATGGTAAAAGTAAATCTATCTGCAGTGTGTCATTTCAACCATAAGCCCCTGTGTTTGGGAGTGATAAAGGGTTCAGACTAACCCTTGGCTGGTCTCTCTCTTCCAAGTCCCAGGGGTTACATTTTATGGAAGCATGATTTAAAAAAATAAGCTTCATTCTGGGTCACTAAAACATTTCAGGACTTAAGACGAAGAAAAGGGAGAAAAAAAACAGGCCCTTGCACATTATTTTTCTCCAGCTACTTTGGTAGGAGTGAAAGCTCCCAACCACAGCAGGAAAATCTCCCTAACATGTATTAAATCTAGCCTCACCCGGCAAGTCCTTTATCTTCTCAGGGTACTTCTCTTTAGACAAAGTTGTTTATCCAACTCTAGAAACAAAACATGCTGAAAATACGAGGAAATTTTCAACTGTCGTCTTAGTCAATTGAATATTCTCCTAATGGTAACAGAAAAGAAGTGCCACCTGATGTTTTAATTGAAATTTTAACCAAAAGAGTCATGGCCAGATTTCTAATATGTTCTAACTACAGTACTTCCCTTTCTACAATCACACAGCTAATGTCTGCATTGAATTCCCTAATTTCTCATTATAAAACAACTGGATTTCATCTTGCAGTTTTTAATTGCATTGTTTCTCCTGCTGGAATAACTGCACATTCTTCTTCGTGAGATGGTAAAGTTGGTGAATGACAAATCAATAAAGGTCAGGAATTCAGATTTAATCAATTATTATTCCATCTCAAAGCAAAATCAATGAGGGACCTGAAGTATAGTTATAAAAACAATCTACCTTGCTGTCGACACTACCCCCCAAATAATCACCCACCATCACGCGCATACACACAAAAAAAGACCTCGATAAATTCAGTAAGCCAGGTTGAGTACACACTTTCTGGAGCAGGACTAATGAAAATTATTTGCAAAAAGAGAGGCTGGGGGGACCATCAGCTGGTGTGAGGAAGCTGGTCACGTGAACAGAACATCCAATTCTAACCCACCTATGGGACTCGGAGGAAACCACGACGACCCGGGCAGGGGCTGAGCGGCACAAGACGTCCTGGAGGAGCTGGACGAGGTAGAAGTGGCCCAGGTGGTTCACCTGGAAGGTGGTCTCCAGGCCATCTTTCGTGAGGCTCCAGGGGAGAGCGAACACGGCTGCATTGCACACAAGCACGTGAAGTGACCTGAAAGAAAACATCCCACGTTGTACAGACAGAAACGCTCTAAAACCAAGGAGGATCCATGCTCCCCCCGGAATAACCAATTCTTCACTATCTTCAGGACTACAGACAGCTGGAAATGGGATGCCCTAGAAGGTCGCATCTGAGACCATTCTGCTCAGGAAGGGCTTGGATTCTAAGTGAGCAATTGTGCTGAGTTGCTGGGGACGAGGGGGTTCCTGGGATGTGGGACTTTCAGTGCCAAAACAGGGACCATACTGGGCAAACTGGGATGAGTTGGTCACCCAGGTTGGAACACAGGTTCTACCGCCTAGTTGAATCTGTGCTTCCTTAGCTCATTCAGTTCTCAGCTTCGTTATCTATAAAATCGAAACAGCCCTTAAAGTAAGACATAAGGAATAAAGGAGAAAGTGTGCTGTGAAAAAGCCAACACCAGAACCAGCACTTACTAGGTATTAAGTAAAACATATCAAGGTGGAAATGCTCTGTCTAAAGAGATAGGCACAAACTGTTTGGATACATTCCTTTTAGAAGTCAAGTTAAATCTACATTTTAGAAGTCAGCTTGGGGAGTGTTAAGTGGAGGTCTGTTATATTTTCTCTTTGTTTGCACATATTTAATTTCATAATAAAAAATTTAAAAATAAAAGCCTTTCATGTGAATCAAAATCCTAAATCCTAATCAAGAAATTGTATTTGTAAGAAATCATCCTAAGGTACTAACGAGAACTGTATAAAGAAATACATTCAAGGCTATCCACAGTGTTTGTAATTGCAACATAACAGTAACACATGAGAAGTAAATTAAATGTACAACTGGAGAATCATTAAATGAATTGGAATATATGCATATGATAGAATATTATGCAGCCATTAAAATAACAAATCTATTGACCCTGTAAAGCATTCATGTTTAAAAACAATATATAATATTGTATGATCACACACACACACACACAATGCTAATGAAACATAGACAAAAATGTTAACAGTCATTGTCTCTAGGGGTGGATGGAACCCAAAGTGTCTTAAATTGTTTTCTTTCTGAGTTTATTCGTATTTATTTTTTCCATAATTAACATGTGCTGTCTTTATAATAAGAAAAAAATGCCATAAATAAATGCTTTGTAGGAAGAAAAAAAAGCGTTTCGAGGATTTAGTTAACACATGAAACGAGAGAAAAAGAGACAGGGTACAGTTTTACAGGACCACTGCTTTAAGAGATAAAAGTTCAGTGTTTTGTCCCAGATTCAAGCAAATCACCAAATCCTCTGAGTTTCTGATTCTTGCTTGTAAAATAAGCGGCTGGAAACTGATGGTGTTCAGATTCCACACCAATGGCATGGAATATGTGATATGGGAAATGAAATATTTCCTATCTTTCATTTTAAAAAACTTAGTGTTCTTTTCATAGAGACTTCTCATAGACCTATTGCAACAATCTGATTTTTTTCCATCCTTATGGAAAACTGTAGGTGAAGAATCTTGAGTTTTTAGAAAACAAACACTGGTGTGCAATAAAGAAAAGCCTATCTAAAAACTAAAATTATCTGTTATCTAAATAAAGTTTTAAAAAAGGCAAAAATTTGCAATCCTATAAAGAATCCATATTTTCACTACGTAAACAGTGTTTACAAATCAACAAGAGAAACATATTCTGAGTCTAACAGAAATACTGACAATGATATTTTTAAAATTCATAAAACTTGATTGTAAAATAACCAGCACAAGAGGTAACGTGTTCAACTCCACCAGTAGCAAAAGTTAAAATGAGATATTTTCTGCCTATTAAATTAGCAATTTATTTATATTATCATATTTTTATTACCTTGTATAAAGCTGGTAAGACTATATATTCCTACCCCATGGATATTAAGTTGAAAACATTTATCATGAGAGTTAGAAATATCCACATTATTTCACCTAGTAATCCTGTTTCCAAGTAGTGGGTTACACAGGGGGCGGTGCAAAGGGCAGCAGCTCATACCCCTAGGGAGGAACAGTTTATCACTGATAATGTTCAGAACTGCCACTGCATGATGATAATAATAAAAAGCAGAGCAACGTTTAGTAATTTTACTATTGGTTTTTTTTTTTTTTAATACATTCATTTATTTATTTTTGGCTGCATTGGGTCATCGTTGCTGCACGCGGGCTCTCTCCAGTTGCGGCAAGTGGGGGCCACCCCTCACTGCGACGCACAGGCCTCTCATTGCGGGGGCTTCTCCTGCCGCGGGGCACGGGCTCTGGGTGCGCAGGCCTCACTAGTTGTGGCACACGGGCTCAGTAGTTGTGGCTCGCAGCCTCCAGAGCACAGGCTCAGCAGTTGTGGCGCACGGGCCCAGCTGCTCCGCGGCATATGGGATCCTCCCGGAGCAGGGCTCGAACCCATGCCTCCTGCATTGGCAGGCGGATTTTCAACCACTGTGCCAGCAGGGAAGTCCTTATTATTGGTTTTGAATTTTCTACAAACAATGCTCCCCCATTTTGCCCGTGCCTGGGGCAGACTATCCCTACAGCCACCTGCTACCCCCTTGATATGCCACTGCTTCTGTAGGGGATTAAATGGTGAACCCAAAAAATAGGTCCGCTAGGAACCTGTGAATGGGACCTTATTTGTTAAAAGCGTCTTTACAAATGTAATTAAGTTCAGGACCTTGAGAGGAGATCACGCTGGATTAAGGTAGAACTAAATCCAATTGACAAGTGTCCTTACAAAAGAAGAGAAGGGCAGAAGACACACAGAGAAGGCACTGTGAAGGCAGAGGCAGAGGCAGAGCCTGGAGAGATGCATCTACAAACCAAGGGCTGTCAAAGAGTGCCCACCTGCACCAGAAGCTAGTGAAGGGCGCCGAATGGACCCCTCCTCAGAAGGCACCAACCCTGCAGATGCCTTGATTTCAGACTTTTGGCCTCCAGAACTGTGACAGACTGAATTTCTGTTGTTGTAAGCCACCAAATATGTGGTAATTTGTTACAGCAGCCCTAGCAAACTGATACAGTTTCCAAGATTCATTCCCATAGAAATCCTCAAAATTTACATAAAAGCTTATGCATAAGAATGAGTAATAATTATATATAAATGAGGTAGAATTATAAAATTGTATATGAACTAGAAGCAACTTAAAATCCAACAGAAGATAAGCTAAATCAGCAAGGATTAAGTCAGAGGTTCCCCAATTTCTCAAATCCATTGAAAAAGGAGGAAATTAAATGTTATGTGTGCGATTCATATCCCTTCCCAGCCACCCCCCCCAAAAAAAGATTTTTATACGTAGAGTCAGCAAGACAGGAAATACAGAAAAATGTTAGCTCTGGATGTGCAGGATATCATTAGGTTGCTTAGTCCTTTTTTTACTGTTTCTGTTATTTTCCAAATTTTCTATATAAGCATGGATTTCTTAAAAAATTACTCAGATGTAATTCACAAAGCATACAATTTACGCTTTTGAAAGTGTGCACTTCACTGGTTTTTAATATGTTCACAATTATACAAGCATCATCACATTTTAATTTTACAACATTTTCATATCCCCCAAAACAAGCCCTGTATCCATTAATAGTCACTAACCACTCCTATCCGCCAGACACCATTAATCTGCTTTCTATTTTCTAGATTTGCCTATTCTGGATATGTCATATTAATGGAATCACACAACGTGTGGTCTTCTCGTGAACAACTTTTCTCACTGCACTTAACGTTTCCAAGGTTCATCCACGTTGTAGCAGGCATCAGTACTTTGTTGCTTTCTGTGGCCAAAAGCTATTCCACTGTATGGATACGTCATATTTCATTTAACCATTTGCCAGCTGATGGACATTTCGTATTGCTGCTATGAACAGTCATTTACAAGTTATTATGGAGACATATGTTTTGATTTCTCTTGAGTATACAAGGAGAAGTGGAATTGCTGGGTCATACGGTTAATTCTATGCTTAACGTTTTGAGGGACTGCCAGACTGTTTTCCAAAGTGTGGCTGTACCATTGTACATTTCTACCAGCAATGTATTATGATCCCAATTTCTCCACATTCTTGCCAATATTTGTCATTAAATCTGTCTTGGGTTTTTTGTTTGTTTGTTTAATTTTAGCCACCTTAGTGAGTATGAAGTGGTGCCTCATTGTGATTTTTATGTGCATTTCCCTAATGACTAATGATGTTGAGCATTAGTATTTATTGGCAATTTATGTATTTATTGGCAATTTGTATCTTTTCTCTGGAGAAACATCTACTGTCTGTTCAGATGCTGAGCCAATTTTTAAGTGAGGTAATTATCTTTTTATTATTGAATTATAAAAGTTCTTTATATATTTTGGATACAAGTCTGTTGTCAGATATACAATTTGCAGCATCTCCCTCATTCTATAGATTGTCTTTTCACTTTCCTGATGGTAACATTTGTAACACAAAAGTTTTAAATTGTGATGAACTATAATTTATATATATATTTTTTTCTTTTTCCTTTGTCACTTGTGCTTTTGGGGTTGTATCTAAGAAAGCACTACCTAACCCAACATCACAAAGGTATATTCCTATCTTTCTTCTACGTGGTTTATAGTTTTAGCTCTTACATTTAAGTCTAGGATCTATCTTGAGCTAATTCCTATGTATGGCGAACACAAGACATCTAACTTCGTCCTTTGGCATGTGGACATCCAATTGTTCTAGCATCATTTGTTGAAAAGACTGTTCTTTCCCCCAATGAACTGTCTTGGCATTCTTGCTGAAAATCAACTGACCACCTGTAAGAGTTTATTTTTGGACTGTCGATTCTATTCTATTATCTACATGACTATGCTTATGCTATGACCACACAGTCTTCATTACTGAAGCTTTATAGTCAATTTTGAAATCGGGAAATGGGAGCCCTCAACTTTGTTCTCTTTGCGTCTATTGACATGATCCTTTTTTCCACTGATATGGTATATTACACTGATTAACATTCAAATGTTAAGCCAACCTTGAATTCTTTATATAAATTTCACTTAGCCACGGTATAAA